CCCACCTCGCTACAACCTCCTTTCAGGTAGTTGTAGAGAGCGATGAGGTCTCCCCTCAGCCTCCTCTTCTCCAGGCTAAACAACCCCAGTTCCCTCAGCCGCTCCTCAGAAGACTTGTTCTCCAACAAGTCTCTTATACATGGGTTTTGACCTGTTCCCTGATGGTGTAAAGAGCCACTGAAGAAAAGTTGTAGAAGTATAGGTAAATTGAGTGAAGTACAGAAGTGTTAACATTTCCATCCTTCAGATGGTGTGTCTGGTAGATAAGGGTTTCCATCAGATGAAATTGGATTGTGTTTTTTATTAAATTCAATAGCTAGAATACTTGCAATGATGGTAACCTTTTTTTTTCCCACAGCTTCAAACATGCAAACCACATCTTCCCAGTGTATGTATGGAACATCTGGTCAGTTCCCTTGTCAGGAAAATCTGGAGTCCCATGGCCCACCAAGCAGAGATATGGTGTCATCTTTACCACCAATCAACACTGTCTTCATGGGAGCAGCTGCTGGAGGAACCTGAACTGGGAGAGACGTGTCAGTGCCTTAAGCTTACTTCCCAAATCCAGACATAAGGCTACAATGACAATCCCCTTCAAGTTGGTGGAATAGAAAAGTATTACATATAGGTGTTAAAGGAGCCATTTTAGAGATATTAGCAGCCCTCCACACAAAAAAATCGCTATATTCAGATTGGGTCCTGCTTGTGAATCACTCAGGATTGTTCTCACCATTACAGCTTTTCAGTCAGAAATTCAGGGTGAGCAGAAAGAACCAGTGATTCTTGCAAGCAAGACTAAGTTGTAAAGAAATGATTACATCTATTCCTAATTTATTAAAAATGCTATTTTAGTCTTTCACTTATATTTTTTTGTATAAAAAAAGTTTATTTAATGCCTGTGTTGCTTATTATTTATTAGGATCACAGAGTAACTGTTTACTTTCTCTTATTTGACAGATTGTCAAATGTATGCATCCTACCTCCTATGGAAATGTTTACAAGGTCAATTTTTACTGTTTTAAATGAAACTAAGCCAAATTCTTAAGTTTTTTATTGTTGTGCTGAAAGTCAATTTCAAATGTTTAGTGCCTACTTGTGTAAGTGAAAGTCCTCAGGAAATAAATAAAACATATTGTGGGGATTTTTTTTTCTTTTAAAATAAACTACTGTCTCTTAAAATAAAACCAACAAAACATGCAAATATCATAAGCCTACTAATTGCAGTAGCCTGCTACTGTAGCTGGATAACTGAAACAAATGAAACTATGCCAAAAAATGTCGTGGGATTTCAAAATTTTTTGTGGTATGAGCCCAAAACCTCTACTGGTGGAAATCCACAAAAAGATGTCCATCAACTTTCATGGGTTTTGGGCAACTGTGTATACTGAGGCCAAAAGTAGTAAAGATGACTAAAAAACATTGCAACCCTCCAGATCAGCTATTTTAATAAAAAAATATTTTACAAGTGCCATGATATTCTGTATACAAACATGCATTTATGTATGTTTCTGGAGAAGCCAGGTGAAGAATATTCACTGATGGTATTAAAGAGGACAGAGAAGAGAACAGACTTACAAAACAAGCTTCTTGCTACACATTCATGAAATAACAGATGTTACTTTATAATCAGATTGTCCCAACATCAGATTCAGATTTGGATTTAAATCCAGTCTTCTGAGGTTATTTGATGTCCATATTCCCATTCAGTCCATTGAATATATGCTGGATATTGTGGAATTAGATAGTAGGGTATTTTTGGTGGAAGAAAATGGATGATACCATGATGAAGTTTTTATTTCTAATCCTGTATAACTTCCTTTAGTGTTTTCTATCCTGGGGGGTTGGACTAGATGACCTTTAGAGGTCCCTTCCAACCCAAACTATCCTATGATTCTATGATTCTATGAGAAGTCTGACTGCATCAGAAAAGTAGTAAGGAGAAGTGACTGGGCTAGCGCATGAATAATTCCTGATATGAAATACTTTATGCAGAAATGAGACATCACAGTTCAGTAACTGAGATGTAGAAGACTTCAGCTCAATTGCTTCCTAATTCAGGGTGAAGTCTTGTGTTGCAACCAAAAATGCTATAATGATGCAGGAAAGTTTTGGTTTCAATAAAAATTCCCAATGACGTGTAGTGGTAATACAAACTGTTCAAACAAATATTTATTGGGCAAGGCTTTACAGCAAGTGAAGTAAGTACTGCAAAAGAGTTCCTTCTTCATGATTATTCAGAACAGGATGTGTTTTCTCCTAAAATTAGTGCTGTCAGGTTCCCCATCTAAGCGGGTCACACAGATTTCCTCTATAGTCAGTGAAGAGAGGGAGATCGCTCCCATTCCAATGAGATAAGATGGGGAAGGGCAGTACAAAGGGAAGGGATATGTCACTATCCTGAAATGCTTGGCTCCCTCTGCTGACAAATAGCATGGCCTAAATAATTACTTTAAGCTGGAAAAATCTCGATTGTTGAATTTAGTTGAGAGCAATATTTAGAATTTAGAGGAAGAGGCAGCCACTAGCAGACAGGGTCTTAGTCCATCAGGCCCTACATAATAAGCATAGTTGGTACACAGTGACTCATATGTGATTTATATGCATCATTTGCAGTCATTTTCTTTTTTTCACGTGAACCATTTTGCATTGTGGGTTTTTTTTTGGCGTAAATTACTTTATCTGCACTTTATCTGAGATAAGAAACAATATTATATCATTAACTGTGCAGATTCTTGTGATGGCTGCAAAACGCAGAGTAGCATGAAGTATCACGTTGTAAATTTCAGTTCATTATCAACAGCAAAGAGCACTAAAAAAATATTCTAGTATTCAAACAGCCAGTTAAGAGGAATCTCTCATAGCATTGCAGAACAAGACAAAACCATAATAATTGTAACTAGCAAAACCAAATGAGAAATTTCCACCTTATGACCCATTAGTTCAGTCAAATGTGTGGTTTGATGAATTCAGTAAGTTTTGTCTGTGGGAAATGAAATAATTTGTAGCTTTTGTGGATACCCCGTGGGAAGATTTTTACCTTTGGTTGTGTAGCAGCATTACAGTAAATAATATGAAGAATCAACGGAGTCGCCACTTGGTGGTCTTGTATTACTCAGTTCAGTTGCATTTTTGTGGATGCATTAATATGTTGGTTTTAATATATACATGCCAAAAAATCTGTGATTAAAAATTGTAGTGTCAAATGAATATTGCCTAAAGGAAAAAAAAGAAGCTTTTTTTTTCTGAGAAGGAAAAATGAAAAATTAAATCCTTTTGATCTATTTGCCAGTATCAGTGAATTTAAACTCGTGCTAGAAAAGGCAAAAAAGAGGTGGATGAACAGGTCAAATCTGCTGCCACTTCTAGAGTAAAACTGATTCTAATACAAATTATCTCAACCAAGACGAAGCAATATTGAAGAAGAACCGATTGTCTTGTGTGCCATGGTCCCAAGCCCAGCAAGAAATGGGGAAACTTACAGAATTCGTGCTGGAAGAGAAGTGCAGTTCTTCGACTCTGAAGGCAATTAGGACCATGGGAATTTTGCTCCAGACTGAAAATTAGCAAAAGAAAGTTTACCTTTACCTTTAGATGTGTAGTGAAAGCACAGTGTAATTACTTGTAAAAAGGGTGGAACTGCAATGAACTGGGCGTTGGACACTGGTTTGATGCAGTCGGTTCCTCCTGCGTACTCCACAGTGAACCTGTGTATCCTACTGCCATCCCACGTGCCAAATGCATCTTACCGGTCTGATCAGCATCCTGCCAGCTGTCTCCGTCCAGTACGTGAGTGGTCAGTGGCCACAGAGAGGAAGGGAGCCTGCAGCGCGGCGGGTAGAGATGAGCCGTTTAGCAGGTCCTTGTATTTAAGGCAGACTATTAGAAGATCACAGATACGCTGGAATGGGAACAGATGCTTTATATGACACAGCGCAGTGCCGTTTCCCTCCGTGTGGGATCAGAACTGAGCAGACTTTAGGCTTATGGAGCAAGTGGTCCAGAGATGAAACAACTACAAACACCCCCACTCTTAGAGCACTTAAAGAAAAACTGTAGAGATTTTATTACTCTTGGAAAAGCAGATATTTGACACTAAAGAAACTGAATCTGTTAGGAACAGAATCAAAGATCAGACAGAGAAATACAAGAATCTGTAGAAGCAAGAGAGTAACAATACAGGTCATTAATGCCATACCTCTGGACAAAGACGTGCTGCTACAGGCTGGAAGACCCACAGCAGCCAATACTACTGTGCTAAAATAAAAAGGGCCATCAAGATAAACTTAAAATTGTTGCGGCTGCTTGCTAGTGATTAGATCCAGGTAACACATGAGGCCTTACCTGGTTTTGATAACTGGGAAGAGAGATTAGAGCTACTTTTGGGGCTGATATGCCCCAGGTTGTAAGTAACAGCCTTTTGTGTGAATAGTTTTGGGCTACGATTTAATTGGAATCATTAATCTAGCTTTAGGGATAGGATTAGATTTTATATTAGCCTTGGGGATAGAGTCTGGGCAAGGGTGGGCTGGCTAGTATGGGCCTTATGACTGTTGCAAATAAAGGCCTACAAAGCTATACTAAATTGACAGTCTGAAACAGGTCACAGCTCTAGCTTTTACGATGAACTCTCTCTGTAGGATTTGGGAACAGCTACAACTGGGCTTATGGGCTTGGATTCAGGGTAGTATGTTGGATGAGCCTGCATAATGCCTGAGCTTGGTTTATAGCTCTTGCCAGTAGGGCCTGCATGGTATGCTTAACTTAACTTAGTTAATTCAGGAAAGTTTGCTGCTTTCTTAGTGAGGTACTCAGGGTACTTAAATCTGAGTTAGCTTTGGCATTGGGGTTAACTTCAGGGGTTGGGTCAACATGAAGCTGAGACCATGGGTCAATATTGGATTTAGAAGTGGCCATCAAGCTTGGCTTAATGCTGCTGCTTAGAGGGACCCACAAACTGTGCTTAGTTCTAGATAAAATAGGATATAGGGAGACCAATATAGATTCATATTATAGTCAGAATTAAAATTAAGATTTGCTTGGGCAGGAACTGGTGAAAGTGGGTTGTTTCTGCATTTAGCAGGGGTTGTTGAGCTTATATGAAACCTACTGCCAGACCAGGTGATCTAGATATGATTCCTTCAAGGTCTAGTCTTAAGAGTAGACTGAAAGTTGATTTGAAATTTACATTTGGAAATGAAAGAAGATGAGCCATGTAGGTTAAAGCCAGGTCTAGAAGAAATTGAGGGAGACTACTTTGAGGGTTTAGGTGATGGAGATCACATTGTCAGTCATACTTCTGAGGCTGTCAGTGGGGAATTTAAAGACATGGTTGGGGTTCAGGCCAACATGAAGCAATGAATCTGAACTAATTATGAATTTAAGACCTGCAAGTATCTATGCTCATTATTGAAATTAGCAAGAGTCACTGACATAGTCATGAGCTTCAGCTAAGAGTTAGAATAAAAGGCTAGGACTAAGTTGGAATAAAAGGCCAGGACTAGGTCAGTAATGCTGTGAGCCAG